GAAAATTCCAAAAACTTCGGTTTGATAATTCAAAAACTTTCAGTAAATCGGTATAAATCGATAAGTTGAAAGAACTCGATGCATTACGATAACTCGATAAAATTCATGACTTCATATACATATAATGGTAATTCAATAAATAGCGATAGCTTGACAAATTTCGATTATCCCATACATTTTTTTGTGTCTATAAATTTCGACAACTCAATAACGCTGATCAATTTGAATAACTCGATATGTTGCGATAACTCAATAAACATGGATAACTTTCGACAAAAGAAAAACTTCAGGATTAAGTTATGTATGATGAAAGCTAAAGCTGAGCGGATATGCCGTGATGGAGCCATCAAAAAAAAATTTCTTTTATTTTTATTAGAATCGGTCGATAACAACTACCCTTCACTGACCTCAACCATAACCTTTAAAATAATAAAAGCAACCCTTTTGGTGTAAATGTTATACAATTCTTTCTGCCTTTGTGGACATCCCCAGTTGCTATGAATGTACATATGTATGTATATATACATATGTACTGTTAGATGTATTGATAACCTTACAAAAGCGTAAAGTATTTAGCAATAAAATTAAAAAAGAACAAATAATTATAACATGCCATGTCACATATGTGTATGTTTAAGCATTCTAGTGGGCGTGCCGAAGCGCCGCGAGGTTGCAACGACATACCAGTTCCACCACACAAACATTACTTTGTGTCCATGTGTTAATTGCGATTATGTGTGAAATTCAATTATTTCATCGCTTAAACATTTGACAAACTTAATAATGTCATCAGTTACGCTAAGCGAATAAATAAGGCTAAGCAAAAGGAGTAGGATAGGATACAGAAACTTACAACTAGCAACAAAGGAGACAAGTGTAGTTGTTTCAGGTGTGCAAACGTGTTAAAATTGTTGCAAGCCCACTTGTGCGCAAGTGCTTTTCTTTCACTAAACAGATACGACGACTAAAATGGAAAAGTGTGAAAGTTGAGAGCGCTTCGTACTTTAGTGTGTTTTTATCCCAGCTTTTCAAGCTTTTCCTTTTGTAAAAAAAAGCCAATTAAAAAGGCTGCAATAGCCTTTGAGTTTGCTCGCTACTATAGACTTTCTTTCACTTCATTTGCTACTTCACTTTCTTAGGCTTTTTTGTAACTACTATGTAAGTACATACGTACGAATTTGTGCTGTGTGAAGTCACTTCTATTTTTTTCATCTCTTTCTTGGCAAAAATTTAATTACCCCACTTGTCAGTTAGCTACTGTTGGCTTTAATGCACTTCGCAACAAATGAAGGATGTAGCCGGCATGCAAAATGGTCGCTTGCTGCGAGGATATCTGCTACTTTCATTAAAATAACTTTCGGAAAGGGAAAAGAAAAGGAGAGTGGAGTCAGTAATTGTCCATGCAGAGTTATTAGTTAGAGGGAGTTATAGGAAAGAGAAAGCGAGTTTGAAAAGCCGGCGTCTTTGATTGTGAGTAAGTCAGTAGATGTTGAAGAGTACTTTAGAGAAATGAGAAGGGCCTTAAAGCACATGTAAGCATTATTTATGCATGTAGATTTGAAAATATCAAAAAAAAATTCTGAGATTTTTTCGTAGTCCCGCACTGAATATTTAGTTAATAAAAAGTAACACCTAGAATAGTATGACTGCTGTTTTTTTTTGAGTCTGTTGTAGTTTTGGTTCATTATTTTTTCGCGTGAAGTTCTTGTCTGCCTTATGAAGTAATTTTGTTTTAAGCGCCCATTCATTCGGAATTTTACATTTGGCCTCCGGAGTAATACCGCTCAGCTGATTTGAAGTCAGTAGCAGACGGAGCGAGTTGTTTAAGCCTAGACATCCACGCCATTACAACCTTTAATTCCAGAGTCATCCTTTTAGGCTAGGTTTTCATTCAAAAACAGGATCTTGCTCTAAGGCCCAGTGAACGTGCAGGTTCTTCTAAGCCCTTGAAAGCTCAAAGATCTATGGCTACTTTAGCTTCTGGGGGAGGAAGCGGAAACTCTTTTATGAGAATCGATAGTTAACTATGGTCTATCCTTTCATGAGCTCAGTACAGCTTTTAAATGCCACTCATGAGAAATGAATCATGTCCACACTTCAGCCTGATAGCCCGCAAGCTCACTAGGCGACTGCTAATAGCCCAAATCACACTTCCTAAAAGCCTTATATGTAATTACTATAATTTTTATTATGACCTAAACTCAGAGGAGACCTGCATATCTGGTACACCGGTGGCTCCAAAACGGTCCAGGACATTATGGCTTATAAGACTGAGAGATTCTGTTGACTATCACGGAAAATGATGCGGTGCGTTTTCTGGTCAAGAAACAGGAAAAGCCATGTCATCTACAGTCCCAGGATACTTTTTTTGTGTACTGCATAGATGTGGATGAAAAACGACTAGAATCTTATATTGGAGGCAACATTCGGTAAAGTAAGCTAAGCGATTAAAAACGCTCCTCCATCCCGATTTCGGAATATTCATAGTTTTTCCGGTCATTTGATGATGAAAAAGGGAAATATGCCGCGGGCGGACAGCAGACGATAGGTGAACTTTTAATGGCAACTTCACAGCGTAAGACTGAAGATCCATCCTATCATAGTGTTCCTCTGTCGTGCGTACGAGTAGATCGTGTTTAAAAACCAGGGATCCGCCACTATGCCACATCAAGTTAGTATCCTGATCGGTGAGAGTTAAGCGCAGCTTTGCAAGACAAGTAAGCCTTCTCGTTGTTGATAGACCTGTGGACCAGCGGTGACGAGGTGACAGTGCGTAGGGATGAAATCTCTTGAAGACTATAGGCCTGGAAGTGGGTCCCAGAAGACATAAAAGCCTGAACAAATTTTGAAGACTATCAAACGATTCATTAGTTATCGTATATCGAGATCATTTCCTTTACGCCAGACGATAATTTAAATTTTTAGCTCTTGAGCTAAATTCAGCGAACGTAAAACCCTACACTTCCTTGTATGGTGTTTGAGGTATTTGAGTACTCTTGACTCCAAATCTATTGAGTTTAATACAGAGCCTTGTACTAAACGGTGTTTGTATAGAGTTGTCTGCCTCGTTTACCATCTCAGAGCCATACCTGGCTATCTCAACGGTGGTCTCGTTTCTTTCTACATTGCCAAGTCCGGATGCCGGCAAAGAAAGGCGTTGATATGGACCAATGATGGTTACGCGGCGCAACATTTCCATCCAAGCGCCGATTTCATTAGTCTTAAGCTAAAAAGGATGCTTCCAGCCGGAAAAGTAAATGCATAGTATCCTTTCAAAACGGCTTGGCTATCGACAAAAATAGTCACTTTTCCGGCTGGAATCTATCTCGTAGGAAATTTGCTGTCTTATGGAAAGCATAATTCTCAGCTTGGAAAATGTTGCAGTCGTTTGGCGGACGAAAAGACTGACTGATCAGCATCTGCCACTGGTGGAATTTCGTATCATTCTTCTCTGGTTGTAGAGTACCCAAGGAATCCTTATATTGTAGTCCAAAACCGGTGGAATGACAATAGTGCTCAACTTTGGTTTCATCTCTTCATTTCCCAATGTTCGAAGTTGTCGGCTTCCCTAAGCTTTGAGCGCCTTTTGCAGCCACACCATGAACGTACGCTCTCGTGCTCTATATAAAGAGAAACAAAGCGGTAGCTATTCTGAGAATCAACTTAATAACTACACAGCCAGCCAACGGAATGATAATTAAAAGTGCGGAAATTAAGGTGCAATATGTCAAACAGAATGAGAGCTATAGCGAATGAGTTGGAGTTGGGAAGGGATAGACCAGCGCATAAATTTTCCAGAGACGATAGATGCCACTTCAAATGTTTAAACTACTAAACTACTAAAGGAAGGGGCAGGAATCCTCCTAGTTGCGATGTCTTGAATAAAGCTGAAGAGAACGAACGCTAAAAGCAAGAAAGTCTTCAAAACCTGCGTAGATGACGCAATATTTGAGCCAGAGCACGTCAAGAGTCTTCAAAACTTGCATAGAAAACACAATCTTCGAGCCGGAGCAGCCCAAGAAAGTCTTCAAAACCTTCGTAGACGACACAATATTTGAGCCAGAGCACTTCAAGAAAGTCTTCAAAACCTGCGTAGACGACACAATATTTGAGTCAGAGCACTTCAAGGAAGTCTTCAAAACCTGCATATATAAAAACGCATTTGATTGAGAACATCACAAGAAACTCTTATAATTAAGTATGTATGTATGTATTGATAAATATACATTGGTACTGGAAGCAAAACCTATGATTTCAAAACAATTGCAATAAAAAATTGCAGGCGAGTCAGAACAGCCGAAGACAAAAAACAGCTTTCCAGTCAGGAGAGCCGAAGAGTAACATAGAACAAGGAGTTTACCAACGAAAAGCGGTAAGGTGATTTATACAATGTACAAACAAAAATAAATTTCAGTAGAAAAAGCCCAGAGCTCCAAAACAAAAACGCTTTGGATCCAGTACAGCCAAGGCGAAATTTCAAAGATTGCTTGGTAAAATATGCATTTCGGTTAGAAGAACACAGGAAGCGAGTATGTATACAAATATTGTTTAAATATAAACGCTTTGCAGTCATATGAGCGCAACGAGCTTTCACGTATTGTATAAACCAAAAGGCTTTCGAGTCTTTACAGCCTAGGGAATACCTCTCAAATACGGTTTGGCCAAAAACGCATTC